CCCCAAAACCCCAAAACCCCAAAACCCCAAAACCCCGAGATAAAAAATAAAGATTGGTGTTATAATAATATACAAGATTATGGAAGAAATTTACCCAGATAATATAGATGATTCTCAGAGCTCATCTGATGCACCAAAGCCACCACCGAAGATCCAGAGGAGTAGATTCAATGTTCTGTCATTGATTCGATCTGTAGATGCCTTTGCAGTAATGCCATTGATGACCCACAATAAAAAGCCTTACTATCAAACCATTTATGGGGGAATTGTGAGCGTGCTTATCATGATCGCAACGGTTGCTTATTTTATAATCATTTTCACAGATCCATGGGAGACTGTAAGTTTACCTTCAAAGTTCCACCTACAACAATACTCAACTTTTGTCTATAATTTTGTGTGCTGCTTATTACAAATCTTTCTAGACCGAAAGCACAAGCTCTACCAGGCTTCTGGTTGCTAACACCAAGCATAACATCACATATGAAACACAGTTCTCATTGACTCCTGCTTTCCATGATAAAGAAGAGACTCAGATGACTTACAAGCCTTTCTTGGATGGCTTCAACATAGCTGTCTCCAGGAACCCTATAGAGCCGATTGATCCTAGTGTTTACGTTTTTATGATTCACTACTACAATGGGCAATCTGAAGTATCAGCAAATTATACGATGAGGTTTTGCCAAATCAATGACTACCACCCAAGTCTTGAGCCTGAACTAACAGCACTTGGCGTTGATTATTGGATGTGTCTCGAAAATAGAAGTGCTATAGAGATAGACTACTCCAGACCACCTACTTTTAAAGGATTCACGATTGGAGGGTATGAGTGCCAACAAGTTTCTAGTGAATGCAGTTCCTCACCTACATACAGTGAAATCTCTGGAGCTAGCTTGATACATTGGGTTGATGCATATTATGATCATACTAATCCGTTAACTCCTATTAAGTATGTCCTCACTAGCGGAAATCAGTACCTTATGGACTATACAACTAGAGATTTTATAAATTTTGAATTAATCAGAAACGAACTTCACGACCTTGGTGAGTCAAACCTCTTTTATCCCTAGATACCTTCTGCTCCAAATCTCTAATCCTTTTCATAGACGGAAGGGTGACTAACTTCTGGCGCCTCCAGCTCGTCACCTACTTCAGCAAAGATGGTTTCATTGGGTCAGATTTCTACGTGACCGTTCTCCTCAGCAATGAGTACAACCTCTATCTCCAATACTACGCTTATTCTTCTCCTCAGTCTCTTCGTAACCTGGACACAGTAATTTCCAGTCTAATCTTCAGGAACAAGTCACGACCAAGACTGATAAGGAAGAGGTGAACAGCAAGTTCATGTTCAAGTTCCTCTTCGCACTGTCCCAAGCAGGAGGGCTCTACACACTCTTACTAGGTAAGAGGCGCACAGGCTTCAGGATTTAGACATAAGGATTGGGTGGGCTAAAAATGCCCCCTTTAGTGTAGTAAATTCGTCAAGTTTTAGTCGCCTACACCATCCTTTGCAATCTGGCCGTCACTCAAATTTTGATCTATTGGATAATGCTGATTTTTATAGTAATAATTGGATTGGTGCTGTCACCACTGATCACAAGAAATTTCTACGAAGACTCTTGTGAAAAACTTGTAGGTAGGCTTTCTTTGGAGATGTTTAGAGAAAAACCTCAAGATGATGGAGAATGTTCAGGATTGTAGTGAAGATGTAAGCCAGAGTCTTATTGTGTAGAGTTATGATGTCAATTTTAAGAACATGGACAAAGAGACACATAAAAGAGCTCTAGAAGAGTATAAGAACACTACTACACTTAGTAGTTTGTCTGCAGAGGTTAATGTTATTGATTACAGGATGCATGTTTTAAGTGAGAAAGTGTTTAATATGAATACTTCAGATATACCTGATATGAGTATTCATGGTGATAAACTAAAGAGTAAGAATAAATATCAAAGCCAGGATCTGAATATTGATTTCAATAGAACTGAGAAAACTAACGATATTAATTCCTCTGGCATAAATCTCAACAACATAAAGAAAGAAAACATGGTACAGAACCAAATTCAACCATTTAATACTAAGAAAACTACGAAGAATGGAAAAACAAATAAAAATAACTCGGTTTTGCCCATTCAACAACCTGAATCTATTAAACCTCAACTAAAATTCCAGCAAAAAAAACAAATATCTTCATCTCAATCTTACCAATCTCATGAAATGGCTTCAGTCCAAGCTCATAGTCCTCCCTCAGATCCTAATACTCAAGCTTCTGCCCAACCTTCGACTCAGCAGCTCTCTCAAGCTCCCTCTCAAGTTCCTATTCTACAACCTTCAGCACAACGCGAGAGCCAACAGCCTTCAGCCAAACTCGAGAGTCAACAACCTTCATCCCAACTAAAAGGCCAACAACCTCAACCAGCTGCTCAGGAGCCTCAAAGCCAGCCTCCCATTTCTCAACAGCCAACAGAACCCCTCACCCAGCAGCAGCCATCCCATGAACTCTCTCAAGCTCCCACTCAGCCACTCACTCAAAATCCTTCTCAAGAATTACTCACCCTCTTATCCCAACAACTATCCCAGCTCAACATTCATCAGCTTGCTCAGCTCCAGTCACAAGACCCCAACCTCGCTCACCCATCCACTCTCCCTCTCGCCAATCTCCTCTCTCAGGCACAACTTTCAGCCCAACCCCAGCCCCCAGTCCTTCCTCCTTCTCAAAATTTCATCCAACCTCCAGCTCCCGCCCCTGCTCCAGATCCTTCACCACTACAGATTTCAAAAGACAGCATAAGCCAACTTCTTGATGAGTTCAATATAAGTGACATTAAGGAAGAAAACACCCAGCCACTCCAGGAGAAGCCAAGCTCTGCTCAACCAAAAGTAAGTTTTTACACAGTTCCAAAAATTTGACTCCATACCATTGAGAAGCGCCTGATGAACTATTGATTGTACCAAACAGTTTTCTAAACACTTTCTGACCTTTAAAACTAAGAAGTATTAAGGATTTCAAACTCAACAAGCATATAAGACAGAATGCTAAGGTTTTGATCTAGAACAAACCAAAAACGTTTAAAATCTATGCACTCACTGTCTCATGAGTTTGATATCCAAAAATTCTCTATATATTGGTTATTTAATACCTCAAAGGTATAAGGGTTAGCTTAGGTTTAGTTGAGGTCAGAAAGAAGCAGGCTAAGATTTGGGAATTTTGGCTAACTTGGGATATAGAAGGATGAAATGATAGATGATAAGAACAAAGTGTCCAGCTTTAATTTTTAAAGATTCTCAGTGAGGAAGATTAGTGTGGGGTTTTGGGGTTTTGGGGTTTTGGGGTTTTGGGG